CCCTGACAGCAACAGCATGGAACCAACAGTGTCATACGAGGAGGAGGACCTGGATGGCCGGGATGCATTAAGGAAAGGCATCTGGTACCAGGCCCTGGATAATGTACAGTACCAGCGGGGTGAGAGTCTCCCCAGTGAAGAGCAGCGGTTGCAGAAGCAAGTGGCCCTGCGGATGCCCTTCCTGGGGGAGCAGCCCCTAGATGAATGGGTGAAGGAATTGGAGCACCGGGTATGGCAGGAGATTTGGCTGGAAGATGCATACCAGGCGCTTTGGTGGTATGGGGCACAGTACCTGCCCTGGACAGCCGAGCATGACAAGCCAGAGGGAGAGGGGTTTGATGGTCCTGGCTTGTTATGGGAGGCTTTTTCAGAGCCTGAATTTGGGAGCCCTACACAAGCCCGGTTCAGTGATCTCTTGGAGTGGAGGGAGAGCAGGTATGACTGGGACGACACTCACGACATTGAGCAAGACCTGGCTCACCTAGCAGCCCTGGAGTGGGAACTGGAGCAGGACTACCGAGATCTCTTCCACTCCATTGAGAAGATTCAGCAGGACAGCAAGGTGACAGAGCCAGAACCAGACCCATTCAGCTGGGAAGACATCGTGGATATTTTCTGGGAAGAACCCCAGGTGGCCGGTAGAGATGGGACCGAGGTCTCTCCACCGGTCCTGCAGGGAATTGGGAGCCCAGTCTCCATTCCCCAGCGGGAGATATTGCAGGGAATTGGGAGCCTGAGCTCCATTCCCCAGCGGCAGGCTGAGTTACAGGGGACAGGGATAGTCGCTCCTGTCCCCCAGCAGCAGAATGAATTGCAGGGAATTGGGAGCCCGAGCTCCATTCCCCAGCGGGAGATATTGCAGGGAATTGGGAGCCTGAACTCCATTCCCCAGCGGCAGGCTGAGTTACAGGGGGCAGAGGTAGTTGTTCCTGCCCCCCAGCAGCAGAGTGATATGCCGGGAAGGCAGTGTAAAGTGCAGGGAGAGGAGAACAGCGTCCTCCCTCCCCAGCGGCAGGCTGAGTTACAGGGGGCAGAGGTAGTTGTTCCTGCCCCCCAGCAGCCAAGTGATATGCCGGGAAGGCAGTGGGAAGTCCAGGGAGAGGAGAGCAGTGTCCTCCCTCCCAGCGGCAGCGTGATTTTTTGGGAAGTGGGAGCCCAGTCTCCATTCCCCAGCGGCAGTATGATGCTTTGGGAATTGGGAGCCCAGTCTCCATTCCCCAGCGGCAGTATGATGCTTTGGGAATTGGGAGCCCAGTCTCCATTCCCCAGCGGCAGGACTCTGTATTGGGAGCAGAGACAGTCGGTCTCCCTCCCCCACAGCTGGAAGTATGTATGGGAGAGGAGCTTGTTACCCCCTCTCCCCAGCGGCAGCTTAATGTACCAGGGGGAGACAGTAAGCCCCACAACCGTGCAGATGGGACCGTAGTCTCTACACTGCCAGCACAGGGGGTAGGGGCGGTCGGTCCTGCCCCCCAGCGACAGGGCTGTTTAGCCAAAGGGGAGACAGTCGGTCTCCCCCTCCAGCAGCAGAGATGGGTAACCAAAGGGGAGACGGTCGGTCTCCAGCAGCAGGACTGTGCATCTAAAGAGGAGACAGTCAGTCTCCAGCAGCAGCAGCAGAGCGGTGTATTTAAAGGGGAGACAGTCGGTCTCCCCCTCCAACAACCAGGCTTCCACCAGGCTACCCTCCCAGTAGCGCTGGCAGCAGGGCAGAGTGCCGCTGGTCTCTGCCCACGCAGCAACCCACCAAGTCAGCGTACCCGTACCCAGCACAGCCGTGGTGAGGCACCTGGACATGGACAAGCTTCTCCTTTACCCAGGTGTAGTAACCATTCATTGTGGGTGGGCTGTGCTGTTGATTATTTGTTGTGGGTGGGCTGCTGGACTAACAAGGGCACTGACCGGCAGGAGGTCAGATACCCTGTTAGTCTGTTTAGAAAAGGGGAGAGATGTGACGAGACCAATCTCGCCACATTGCATTGGAGAAGCCTGGTTGCTCGCCTGCTGCCTTTGGACTATGGCCCCCTTTTAAAAGACTTTATTTTTCCATACAGAAAAGCCATATTCATGCTTTTCTGCCGGTTGTTCGGTAGTTTCAATCTACCGAACAACCGTACGAATGACTGGACCACCTGGGAGCTGGAGTGTGCCGGCAATTAACCTCCCTGAAGCTGCGGTTAACCGCAGCTTAATTGATGAATGCTGGGTGGCCGCCATTCGTATCCCGAACACGAGGTAGCGGCCATTTTAAACCATACGAATGAACAGCGGTGTTCGCCTCTATTTTCATGGAACTAAAATCGGACACAGTTTTGCGCGAACACCGCTGAAGCCGCCGACCTCCCTTCTTGTTGGGTGAAAGCACACAAATGACCCGGTGTTCGGTATTTTTGTGTGAATGTCTTATACCCCAGATAGGAATCCCATGGAGCCCATTCGTATGAAACTGACTGTAAAGACTTTGGCTCCATGGCGATTGAACTGTATTCGTGTAGTCTGAGTGCCATTCACCTAATAATGTGCACTCAGACCTGAGCTATCTGGGGATGTGTTACATGTCTGTGTTTTACGTAGTAAATGTTACTTTGTGCATTTTAAAGTATTATGCTGGTTTTGTGTTCCCACGTGTGTAGTGGAGTTTTGCCTTTGTCTTGGGAGATAATTGAGTTACTTCCCAATTATCTCCCAGGGCAGAGGGGAGGAAGCCAGGATGCATTGTGGGAATATACTGTGACTGTGTGTCCTTTTTGTATACTTGTCTGTCCCTTGTCACAGTCTCCCATTTGGTCCCCTAGGGGAGTGTCCACCAGGTGGGAGACCTGCATAAAAGCAGGGCAGGTAGCCCTCATTAAACAGACCACTGCTTGACCCTCAACACGGAGCCTTGTCTCGTCTTTGGGGGGATTTACTGTATGCTGCTAAGGACTGATTGCCAGGAGTGTAAGCCGCTTGGGAGCTTTTCCTGTTCGTCTGCTAGCAGCTATTCGTATGGTTCCTGTTCGTTTATTTGGAGTGCTACCTTATTCCCTTGTATGCCGTTCGGGAGTTTGGAGCATTCACTTATTGGCGGTTCGTGAGTTTTGGTGATTATACCGTAGCTGTGCCTGTCTCTGAAAAGGGGGATTATCGTCTAAGCGGTTTTTACCCCTTGTGTGCAAAACGGTCCGTTACAGAAACCTATAAAAAAAACTTGATTTTGACCCCACCAATATGTTACAGGCTAAAATTGAGAGTTTTCTTAAATCCGCTCTTGACAAACTAATCATTGACAAAGATACCTATGGGTTTTTATATGAAAAATCACCAATAGTACCAGTTATCTATGTGTTACCTAAGATTCACAAGAATTTAGTATGTCCTCCTGGTAGACCCATTGTGGCAAGGATTGGTTCGGTACTTTCACCCCTTGCACAATTTCTAGATTGTCTGTTAAGACCTTTTTTTTTATTAAATATCAATGGAATGTTGAGGGATACATCTTGGTCTCTTTTGATGTGACCAGTCTATATACCTCTATAGAACATGATTTGGGTCTTCTGGCAGCAAAAAAATGCTTTTGTGACATTAGGGTTTGAAGGTGAAACCTTACTCTTTCTTGTGCAATTGTTGGAAATGGTTATGAGAGACAATTAGTTTCTTTTTCAGGAAGATTTTTTTTTACAGCTTAGGGGAACTTCTATGGGCTCCAATGTGGCACCCACATCCGCCGGTATATACATGTCTGAAATTGAAGAAAAACTAATCTATGACAATTAATTTTTAAAAGACATGTTGATAAATGGATCAGATATATCGATGATATACTGGTGTTGTGGACTGGCACATTGGAGTCCTTAGAACAGTTCTTTTCTTTTTTTAATTCTTGTTCTCAGACCATTAAATTCACCATGACACATAGTGACAGTGAGCTTCCCTCTCTGGATATATTGATCACGAAGGGAGCCGAGGGATTTGAGACTAATGTTTATAGAAAGCCCCTTGATAGGAACACTCTACTACATTTTGAAAGTTACCATCCCTCCTCTGTTTTTAAAGCTTTACCTAAAAGCCAGTTAATGAGGGTCAAAAGATGGTATCGGACATTCAATTGAAAAATATGGTGGATAGATTTTATAAACAGGGTTTTATCTAGGACGCTTCTGGCGGAACAACTAGATGAAGTCAAAAAACAAGAGTAGAGACGAGTGTCTATGTCCAAGACAAAAAGTTGACAAAGACCATTGTGACGAGACCAATCTCGCCACATTGCATTGGAGAAGCCTGGTTGCTCGCCTGCTGCCTTTGGACTATGGTCCCCTGTTAAAAGACATCTTTTTTACCTGCAGAAAAGCTTCATTCGTGCTTTTCTGCCTGGGGTTCGGTAGTTTTGTTTGAATGTGTTATACCCCAGATAGGAATCCCATGGAGCCCATTCGTATGAAACTGACTGTAAAGACTTTGGCTCCATGGCGATTAAACTGTATTCGTGTGGTCTGAGCGCCATTCGCTTAATAATGTGCGCTCAGACCTGAGCTATCTGGGGATATGTTACATGTCTGTGTTTTATGTAATAAATGTTACTTTATGTATTTTAAAGTATAATACTGGTTTTGTGTCCCCACATGTGTAATGGAGTTTTGCCTTTGTCTTGGGAGATAATTGAGTTACTTCTCAATTATCTCCCAGGGCAGAGGGGAGGAAGCCAGGATGCATTGTGGGAATATACTGTGACTGTGTGTCCTATTTGTCTGCTTGTCTGTCCCTTGTCACAGTCTCCCATTTGGTCCCCTAGGGGAGTGTCCACCAGGTGGGAGACCTGCATAAATACTGGGCAGGTAGCCCTCATTAAACAGACCACTGCTTGACCCTCAACACGGAGCCTTGTCTCGTCTTTGGGGGGATTTACTGTATGCTGCTAAGGACTGATTGCCAGGAGTGTAAGCCGCTTGGGAGCTTTTCCTGTTCGTCTGGTAGCAGCAATTCGTATGGTTCCTGTTCGTGTATTTGGAGTGCTACCTTATTCCCTTGTATGCCGTTCGGGAGTTTGGAGCATTCACTTGTATGCAGTTCGGGAGTTTGGAGCATTCACTTGTATGCAGTTCGAGAGTTTGGAGCATTCACTTGTATGCAGTTCGAGTGTTTGGACCATTCCCTTGTATGCAGTTCGAGTGTTTGGAGCATTCCCTTGTATGCCGTTCGGGAGTTTGGAGCATTCACTTGTATTCAGTTCGTGAGTTTTGATGATTCTACAGTAGCTGTGCCTGTCTCTGAAAGGGGATTATCGTCTAAGCGTTTTTTTTCCCCTTTTGTGCAAAACGGTCCGTTACAACCATAGATTTAAATTTATTTCTAGATTTGGGAGACGATCATCTTCTCTCAACAAAATTATCTTTAAACATTGGCATGTCCTGTCTGACTTTCACCCTGACATTCCTGAATTTAATGTAAGACCTATGATTGCCTATAAAAGATGTCCCTCTCTAAAAGACAAATTGGTGAGAGCAGAACTACCACTAATTAAGCCCGACATGACTAGAAAGGGCAACTTCCCATGCTATGGCTGTGTAGCATGTCATTCCATGATACAAGGCCAATGGCTTTATCATCCATATAGTGGTAAGAAATACTTGTTAAAACATTTTGTGACATGCAATTCCTCGTATGTAGTCTACATTCTAAAATGTCCCTGTGTTTTTTTTCTATGTGGGACAGACCTCACAAAAATGAAAGAAAGGTTCTCCAAGCATAAATCCACGATATGTACGAAAATGATTAATCTGCCTCTACCATCTCAAATTATTGATTATGTCCCTGAAACTCTAAGGAGGGGGGATAGGATTAAAAGATTACTAATGAGGGAAGCGTTTTGGATCAGGGAATTGGATACAATCACCAAAAGGGCTTAATCAAGAATATGATCTGTCACCATTAATCTGAATATTTTCATTGATCTGTTTTTATACAATTCTATGCTAAACATTAATTATCTTTTATTTTTACAGGCTACTCTATGGCCTTGCTGGTTTGGGTTATTCTCTTCTCTCACCCTCTTAAGAGACCTTCTTTAGACCATCTGCTGGTTAATACGAATTTCCACATATGCTGATTTTTTACTGGGATCCTGTTATATTCACAGAATTCTTCTCATGTATATTATGTTTGTTATGTTATATACAAATCACTTGTTTATATATTTACCAGTTTTTACAATAGATTGGATGGCTTGGAGAATTTTCTTCATCGATCCATGCACTTCCCCTCTGCACTCTATTGTATTATAGCACTTTATTATATTATGTAGCTATGTTAGTTATAACCATGGCAACCTAGGTCTTAACAATTTATTCACATTATATTCCTTGGTATACACACTTGGATATATTGTTTTTATATTCATTTACTGATGCATGTTTAAAACCTGTGTGTGCATTTCTGTAGGTATATGTATAGGTGTATGTGTGTGTATATATATATATATATATATATGTTAATATGGGTTTTTACATGTATATGTTTGTATTGTTTCAATCAGCTTCAATCAATTTGGATATATTTCCATCCTTTGGATTTCACTATAGTACTTGGCTTTATTTCATATTTCTCTCTTTTTTTTTTTATATTATTTATTTTTTCCTTCATTTTATTAAGTTTTTTCATATTATGTTTATCTCTTATTTTTAGTTATTATTTTTACAATTTTTACTCTTATTTATTTTTTTCTTTCTATTTCATTTTTATATTTTTTAATTATTCATTTATTTTTTATTTTCTCCTTCCTTATGATCCCTTCTCTCCCCCACCCTATTATTTTCCTTTGATCTTCTGCCGTTATGGCAGATCTCTTATTCTTTTATCTATTTGTCCTGGTAATTCTATTAGTGATTTAGTCTGCTCGCTTAGCCTAGAGGTGTGTCTATATCTGTTGGCCATGGACGGATGCACATTACTGTGCACCGCCTGTATCTTAGACATGCGTCTTGTTCACTGCTAGAGCAGTGTACACATGCGCAGTTAGGTTGCTGTCACTCATGCGCTCGGGTTTGAGTGCTTTTTTACCCCCTGCGGCCACCGTACCTTATCCTCCTTAGTCAGAATGACGTAACCGCGCACGGTTGCGTACCGTAGGCGGCCCGCTTTCTTCTAGCTCTTTTTTCAATTGTGTTTAACCTCAGGTACTTTCATTCAATTATATAATCTGGGTTATTTGATACTCTTATTGAAAAAGATGTGTGTTTATAATTGTTGATGTGATCTCGTTTAAAACCTGGACCATTTTTTTCTTTGCTTATTCCTTTTCTTAGCTATTTATTTGTTTATTCCTTTCCATGTTTTTTGAGGCTCTGATACAATGTCTTGATTTATTGATTGAAATATTTTAAACAAATGTTTTTCTAATGAAATTTGTAATTGTTCAAGGATTATTTGTTTGTATTGTGTGTGTATATAAAAGCAATTTTGTCACTGTGGTGTTACCTTGATAAAGACCTGTATAGGTCGAAATGTTGCAATAAATCTGCCTGGAAGCAATCACAGTGAGTGCCTGAGATTTTATTATTAATACGTATTTCTTGCAGTTTGCTGACCCACGCTCAGTCAGCACCCTGTGTTGAAGTATTGTGGCGGAGTGCGGCCCAACCCTTTTTTCTACCAAATAATATGAGATATATCTATAAATATGCAAATAAAACAAAGTATAAGTGGAGCTCTGGTTTACCTGTATAAACAGTAGTATAATAAAGATGGACAAAAATGCTATTACAATAATCTGTAAATAAATAACAGTAAATCTTAGTGCAGACGGTAGTCACAAATTGAAATATATAAGAGATAAATTGTAGATGGGTAACTCACAAAAGTAGAGCCAATGACACACTTGGCTCTAGTGGTAAGTGCCTCAGGATCTTCTAAGGGAGATCCACCCCCCTCTTTTAGTTGCCTCCTGATGTCCTCCACCTTAAATTCAGGTATGAATGGAATGGCAAACTCCAAATGACGATGTAAACAAAATTTATTATATTAAAAGTAATCAATATAAAATAAATATAAAAGTAATATTGTTAAAAGTACATAAAATGGTTCCAAAACGCGTTTCGCCAATAAACTGGCTTCCTCAGTTGGTATAATAATCATTGCGTCCTCTTGTTCTTTTATATGTGCCTAATGACATGATTGCCGGCATCTGGAACACACACAGAGCTAGTTGGAACGCACGTACGTACGTGTGTACGGAAACCACGTGGTTTGGCTGTTCGACTTCCTTTTTCTTCGTGGAACGCTTACATATGCGTTCCACCGTCTTGAAACATAGGATCCGGCTGTTTTACTTCCTCATTCTTCGTGGAACGCACTACATGCGTTCCACTGCCGAAATATTTGTTATCCATTACAAAAGTCTTTAAATAAATTGTCCATTGACTCTCAAATATACCAATAGAAGGAAGAAAATAAATGAATAAAATATTTATAACACAGAAAAATAACATAATGGGCATCAACATTAGTAAATACATTGTGAACTATGTAATATTACTTCTTAAATGTAAATGGTAATAATATGCCTCTACAATTATGAAAAATAATTGGAGTGAAAATGGATAAAAATCTGGAAGGGTAGAGGAAAAATCATCTAATATATAATTAACCATTAAATATTTTTTCTTCTTTTTTACCTTTTTCAGCTCTTTCCCTTTTAATATTGAAGAAAAAATATTTAATGGTTAATTATATATTAGATGATTTTTCCTCTGGAGCTGGAGCTCTCTGCCCTTTACCAATTCAGCCACGGGCCCATCCATCTGGCCCATCAAGACTCACCCTCATTTCATCAGTCCATAAAACCTTAGAAAAATCAGTCTTGAGATATTTCTTGGCCCAGTCTTGACGTTTCAGCTTGTGTGTCTTGTTCAGTGGTGGTCGTCTTTCAGCCTTTCTTACCTTGGCCATGTCTCTGAGTATTGCACACCTTGTGCTTTTGGGCACTCCAGTGATGTTGCAGCTCTGAAATATGGCCAAACTGGTGGCAAGTGGCATCGTGGCAGCTGCACGCTTGACTTTTCTCAGTTCATGGGCAGTTATTTTGCGCCTTGGTTTTTCCACACGCTTCTTGCGACCCTGTTGACTATTTTGAATGAAACGCTTGATTGTTCGATGATCACGCTTCAGAAGCTTTGCAATTTTAAGAGTGCTGCATCCCTCTGCAAGATATCTCACTATTTTTGACTTTTCTGAGCCTGTCAAGTCCTTCTTTTGACCCATTTTGCCAAAGGAAAGGAAGTTGCCTAATAATTATGCACACCTGATATAGGGTGTTGATGTCATTAGACCACACCCCTTCTCATTACAGAGATGCACATCACCTAATATGCTTAATTGGTAGTAGGCTTTCGAGCCTATACAGCTTGGAGTAAGACAACATGCATAAAGAGGATGATGTGGTCAAAATACTCATTTGCCTAATAATTCTGCACTCCCTGTATAGTTGGTGAAGAGTGGTGAGATAATCTTATGGGCTAGCACTCACATTTGTTAGAGCTTATTTAGAGCTCAGCTGTAATACGCATGGACGGAATAATCCCCGTCTAATGATGTGTGTAGATGTAGACGTCTATTTACTAGAGCAGAACTTGCTCTAGTGTATACAGCATGGGTGGTATAATCCCTACCTAAGGATATGATGGAGCCAGGAAGTAAAAATAAATAAGTAAAATATAAAATAAAATTTACTATTATAAAAAAGTACTAAAAACAATAATAGGTCACTTCAAAGGGTTCCACTGACGTGTTTCGCCTGGTCAAGGCTTCTTCAAGAGTGTAGTGAAGGCCTCATAAGTTCCGTTTATATAGACAGTCTAATAGCAGATTAATTCCTGGTGAGTGTAATTGGTGGCTTCCTGTAACCATCATCGAAAGCACGCGTCATACCGGAAGTGACTCGGCTTTATCCAGTATGTTATTCTGTGCGCTTGGAACGCATACAGAGCCAAAATGGCACCGCTGTGTTCCGGTCAGGTAATACCGTAATAATGTGAGTAAGTCTTATGAAGATAAGAGCTGTAAAAATGTCTGTATGGTATTCAATGAAGAATTGTCCTCTCATTGAATGCGATGGTTTGATTTTAGTCCGGGCGTGACGTCCACCGGAAGTGACATCACTTAACCATTCATAGTACTCCTCGTGTACCAGAAGTACGCATTCCGCCATGTTGAGAGAGGGCAATACTTGGGAAAGGGAGAATATAACTGTATCAGGAATGAGTAATGGACATATGGTATTTCTAAACAAATTTTAATTCCAATAAGTAGCTTGATATGTATTGGTGATAAGATCATAATAATAAATGTACAAAACATTAAATTAAAATTGAGGGAACTAGTAAAAATGATACCAAAAGGTAAAAAGTTATTGGAATTAGAATTTACAAATAAGACCCTTAATAAAGGGCAGGATAACATGGTTGTTATTTATATGGTACATACTAAAAAAATGACTTGTGTAATACATAGTGAAATATTAAGATCTTTATGCATGCCTCCTAATTCTAATATTGTGAATAGAATGTACAAGTAAAACATTTATTGATATTTAGGAATGGAAAATGGGTATTATCAGAAAAAATATGCCGAAAAAATAAAAAATAAAAATAAATAAAATTAAATGTATTTCTATTTTTGATTTTAAAAAAAGATTGAAAACAGGGGATATTAATTATAAAAAGTTAAATAAATCAAATTCTATATTTAACCCATTTAGATGTGGAGAATCCATATGATACACCCATTCCATTTCTGTTTGTCCGATTTAAAAAAAAAAATTTTTTTTAAATAAAATCTCCACTTCTCCAGTGATTTTTTTTTTTTTTTACAGTATAGATACCAATAAAAGTGAGATGCTTAGGGTTTCTTTCATGCATGCAAAAATAGGATGACACCAAGTGGTTGGTATATCCTTTTTCTATTTTCCTGCAACGTTCGGCCACATGGACACTCCAACAAATAAATACAATTTTTGCTATTGCAGGTGATGGTATCTTTGATATTATATATTTTACCAGTATTTTTTTATTTGAAAGTGGTTCTCAGTCTGTTGGATGATGTTTTTTTTTTTTAAAAAAACATGCTACGCATGAATTACAGTTGTAAAAACCTTTATTTCGGGACATGAAATTGTCAATTTTTGTTTCGTTGTCTTTGGTATAGTTTTTTGTGAGGTGCTGTAACGAAATCCCTTATTAAACAGACCATGCGAAACAGCCTGTTCAGTTATTTGGATGGTTACAGAGTGATTTCGTGCAAATAGCGAGAAAAACAAATGAACTACGGAACCACCAGACCTCCCACTGAGGTTGTGTGTGGACTACCGTAAACTAAACGATCGGACCGTTACCGACGCATACCCCATGCCCAGAGTAGACGAGCTGCTAGACCGTTTGGCTGGGGGGAATTATTTGACCACTATTGATTTGTGTAAGGGATATTGGCAAATCCCCTTGGAGCCTGAAGCCATTCCAAAATCGGCATTTGTCACCCCATTTGGCCTATACCAGTTTAATGTTATGCCATTTGGGATTAAGAATGCCCCAGCTACGTTCCAAAGGATGGCGGACCGGCTCCTAGAGGGATTTCAGGGCTTCGCTTGTGCTTACCTTGACGATATAGCTATCTTCAGTGGCACTTGGGAAGCCCACCTGGAGCACATCTCAGTAGTGCTCAACCGAATTCAGAACGCAGGGCTCACCTTGAAGCCAGAGAAATGCTACGTAGGCATGGCTGAAGTCCAATATTTAGGCCACAGAGTAGGGTCAGGAAAACAGAGACCAGAGCCAGCTAAGATTGAGGCCATCACCCAGTGGCCCCAACCCCGGACTAAAACACACGTTCTTGGGCACCGCAGGTTATTATAGGAAATTTGTAGCGGAATACAGTGCCCTAGCCAAACCCCTGACAGACCTCACCAAACAGTCCCTACCCCGACAAGTAGTCTGGTCCACTGAGTGTGAGGAGGCTTTCCAGAAGCTCAAGGCTGCGTTAAGTGCATCTCCTGTGTTGGCGGCACCTGATCATACTAAAAGGTTTCTCGTTCACACTGGGAGCAGTACTAAGCCAGGTGGGGGACGATGGCATGGATCACCCGGTGGCGTATCTGAGCAGAAAACTTACCACGCGAAGTCAGCTATGCCACCGTGGAAAAAGAGTGTCTGGCATTAGTCTGGGCACTTAAAAAACTACAACCCTACCTGTATGGACGCTCTTTCACAGTGCTGACTGACCACAACCCTTTGATTTGGCTTAACAGAGTAGCTGGCGATAACCCCAGACTACTCAGATGGAGCTTGGCACTGCAACCCTATAATTTTACAATGCAGTATCGCCCCGGGAAGCAGAATGCCAATGCAGATGGCCTGTCGCGGCAAACGGAACTGGAGAAGTAATTCTTTTGTTTGTTTTTCTTGTTTTGCCGGACATCCCTTAGCCGACCCGTTAGAATCTAAGCAGGTATGCCGTTCCATGGGACTAAGGGGGAGCTGTGACACTCCAATAAATAAATACAATTTTTGCTATTGCAGGTGATGGTATCTTTGATATTATATATTTTACCAGTATTTTTTTATTTGAAAGTGGTTCTCAGTCTGTTGGATGATGATTTTTTTTTTTTTTTTTTAAACATGCTACGCATGAATTACAGTTGTAAAAACCTTTATTTAGGGACATGAAATTGTCAATTTTTGTTTCGTTGTCTTTGGTATAGTTTTTTGTGAGGTGCTGTAACGAAATCCCTTATTAAAACAGACCATGTGAAACAGCCTGTTCGGTTATTTGGATGGTTACAGAGTGATTTCGTGCAAATAGCGAGAAAAACGAATGAACTACCAAACCACCAGACCTCCCACTGAGGTTGTGTGGCGCCTATTAACCACCCAGACTGTTGCGGTTAACCACAGACTAATTGGGGAATAGCTGGTGGTCCGCATTCGTTTACCGAACACGTGGCAATCGCCATTTTGGATTGTCGAACGCTCAGCGGTAAATGGCGAGGATTCCCTGGAACTAATTTTGGCTACTTATTTTGTCGAACACCACTGCTACCTCTTCAAATCCTCGTTCGTACGGTGAAAAACACACGAATGAAGGAGATACTACTTCATTCGTGCGCAGGATGTATGCGAAAGTGACCGACCCCAGAGAGCTACAGTATGGAACTTGTAGTCGGCTACAAACACATGAACGGCCAGCGAAAGCCAAACTTCAGTCGACGTTTCTGAGAACTGCGTTCGTGGGATCTGAGCGCTATTCGCCTAGAATATGCACTCAGATCCAAGCTATCTGGGGATATGTGGGACTTAAAGTTTATGTTATGTAAAATGAAAGTTATAGATTTTTATGCTGTTTTGCTAAAATAAGAAAAGCCATGTTTCTTTCTACCTGGAGATAATTAAGGCTCTCTTTGCTACCTTAAGTTAATTATCTCCAGGATGGAAAAGAGGGAGTGATTTATGTAAAAGGGGAGTGCTTATGCTATAGCCACTGTGATTGGCTACTGTGTTACTTTTGTCCCAGTCTTCCATCTGGTCCCCTAGGGGAGTGTCCACCAGGTGGAAGACCTGCATAAATACCGGGCGGGTAGCCCACAGTAAATCAGATCGTTTTACCCCTTCATGAAGTCTCGACTCATGTTTGGGGGATTGGGAGTTATAATCACTTTGTTTCAGCTGGATTTCGGGAGAAGCTGCAAGGATCATTGCTGCACGAATAGAAGGATCCTTTACAATGTGTATTTTTAAATTTGGTGCACCTCTAAAGACTATTTATGGTCTCTCTGGAATTAGATTTTTTTTTTTTTTTTTAGAATATTGTCCTCCTTCAATAAGTGCCAGTGTTTATTCAGGATTTTTTTAAATTGTTTATTTGTATTAATATAGTCCAGCACTATGGGAAGTAAATAATTCTCTTGTCTTTAATTTTTTTCTTTGTGTATAAGGTATTTTTGGTTTATTTCTAGTGTCTGATTTATAGTAAACTCTATAGATTTGGTGTCATATTTTCTATTTTTTTATGAATCTCTTTTTAATATCTTCTGCCTGTTTATTTATTTTTTTTAAACAGTGACTTCCGAACAGTTTCTTCTTAGTCTAATTATTTGGCCTTTGGGGATGTTGTCTAACCATACTTTATTATGGCAGCTTTTTGTGTCTATGTAGTTATTAACATGTACCTCTTTAAAGTGCGTCCTTGTGTTTATTTTGTTATCTTGAACATAAATATTGCGGTACAGGTACGTGATTTCACTATCGCTAATATCTGCAGTTAAAAATATTCCCTGTTTATTGGAATTTAAAAAAAAGCTAAAAAAAAACAAACCTTGTGCTGCAGTAGCTGATCCTCTCCAAATAAAATGATCATCAATATATCTTGAGTGGGACACCAGGTTTTGCATCCAGCCATGTCCACCCCAAATATACCTCTCTTCCCATTTAATTTTTGAGGTCAACTTTGTGTACAATTATCAAAAGAATTGTGTATGTATGTATATATTATTTGGGGCGTGGTCTCCTACCATCTCTTTGTTTCACATTGCGCAATCTGTAGCACTTCTATAAGAAGTATAGAACAGGGGTAGGTATCCTTTGACACTGCATAATGCACTTACTGCCATAGTGCTGGCAAAGCATCAGGAGCAATGTAGTCCACAACATCTGGAGTGCAGGAGGTTGCCTACCACTGGTCTAGAATATTAAATGGCGGATGATACTCCTTAGCCACTGTTTTGGATAAAAAAATTACAAAATAAGCAGGTATAGGGAAGCCAACCGAAACAAGCATGGAAAGCTTTTATCTATCCGGCTTGTGGAACATGAATCCAGTGCCCAGTGGTTCAGCGTTAACAGTCCAGGTGTAAGATGGGGTGAAGAGTACTAGTACATGATGACAAACAGTCCTTTAATAAAACTCTCAAAGTTAGACAACATCAATATATTGAACAAAGAAATCTGGCTCCTTTACAGTAATAAATAAATAGAAAGAATGTGTAGAGATGGGTGGGCAAGCAGCAGATTTGTACGTGTTAAGGTAACTGTACTGTCGTTCACATGTGAAGGTAACAGGACACTCTCCTTGCACACTACAAGGTCAACCATTTGATGTCACGGAGTCTGGAGAACACGGCTTCTACATAACGGGCTTGATGAATCTAAAAGGAAAAATGTTCGTGGACACAAGAGGTGAGCCAGAGACAGAGAAAACAACAGAACAGAAGATCGCTAAATTAATTGGAAATTTGGAAACAAATAGTTAGGATAAGGGCTGGAGTAACCCCTCAAAGAGCATTACCTTTTAACCACTCTAAGCATCATAAAGCAGGGGGTTTTTTTTGTTTGTTTTTTTAGACTGACCATTTTGCTCATAGTGGCTATCAGCTTGAAAAGGTTTTCACATTCAGGGTCATCAAGCACAGTGTGATATGCCGAACGCATCCAGTGCGTTCTGTCAGTATATTTATATCGGCAGACATTTTGTCTTAAGATAGAAATTAAAACTATACTGCCAATCACTCTCAGAACAGAGGACTCCATTTTATCTAAGACAAACACAAGATTTATCTCTGTAACTCTATTCATCCAAGTCTGAGCTAAGGAATGCGTTATGTAAACAAGATAAGTGATAAGGCATGATGTCTAAAAGCAGAAGGGGCATGGAATACTAACCCAGAGACAAATGTATACATAATTATATATACACATACACTATCCACTTATAACTTACTATTTTAATCATTTGTAATTAGTATTATGTTGATAATATAGACTATTGCTGGATAAATATCAATGAAGAAATATATTATTGAATAATGTTAGTGGAACATAATTAATCTTAAATACAGTTTCACACAAGAAAACCAGACACCAATGACAGATAACACTAAGTAATTAATTTTACTTTCTAAAAACGGAATCTTACGAAGTTCCATTGTAAGAAAAAGGGTGAAATTACGGTTAGGAGGTGTCAATTCTAAAATTACGATTGAAATTGTAGACACCCAGACTGGGATAAAGCCTTTGAAATTGGCAGGAATTTAGATTTATAGTAGCCATAAAGATAGCAAAAACGTATCATCAATTTCAGTTAACCCATTATGCAAAAAGGCAAATGGAGACCACGACAAGTAATTTTGGTGATGTAATTGCGCCATCTACCGACCAAAATCTAGATGATAGTCTGTAGGGAAGACACACCTACAGTTCGCTATTGGTCCTATCGACTAGTGACGTGCAGAGTGTTTGGCCCTTTAAAAAGTAAGGACAAAGGGAGGAGAGTGGATTCAGACAATCAAAGAGTCAAAGATGCAAACACAACTCTTTGGGACACTCATACTCTCTGAACCACACTCAATCTCTTTGAAACACTTGGATTGCACTCAAGAAACAACACCCCTGGACACCTAATTTTTACTATCATTTTTACAACTAACACCACTTTTATCTATCGCATACAATTCTCCTCATACTTGCATACAAATTCCTTGGACAGATCTACACATCTGATAAGAACATCTACAACCTAACTGGTAATTATGCTGGTTTTATTGAATTAATTTAAATTAATTTTACTAATAGCAGGAATATATATCTGGATAAATCTTGGTCAGGTTTCAATCATTATCCATCTTAGTTAGCTAAGGAATATATGGTTATAACAATTCCATTCCTGCAGGTGGAATGAAGATAATATATTAACAGTAAAAATTGCAGCATGTTAGCATACCAATATCTTTATCCAGATGTGTTAACTTGTTCTGAAATAAGATAGTGAATCTTATTTAGGAAAGTTAAAATTCGGCAAATGTAAAATCTAGTGGAATTATTCTTATTGGATGGTTCTAGGAATGGTAAATGATCTGGTATGAACAGTACTTTAATTGTAAAGTATATTGCCTATGAGGATTGTAGCCGGTAGTGAAAGGGTAAATTCAGTGTAGTCTAACTGTCAGCCAAAGTTTTATTGCTTTAGGCTGTGCTGTGCGTTCTGTGGAGCTTTGTTTTCGGTCTGTGAAGTTGGTTTCTAAATAGTACACTATCATAAATCTTGTGACAACTGGTCGCTTTTAGACGCTGCATTGTGTTTAAACTATTGCCCTAGTGTATGCCTATGTTATACCTAAATATTCACTTGTCACGTATGTTACATATTATTGTCACAATAAATATTTTTATAATGAAATTGTGATTACTGTGTGAAGTAAAATCCTCTAACGAACGTTCTCTAGGATCTAAGATAATTAAAAATTGTGAGTAATTCTCAGCTTTATATTATATTATCATTTTTCAGGGAACCGCGCCAAGATATCAATTTTTATATAATAAAAATTAAATTAATTTTTGATAATTTTAATGAAAATATTATTTTAATATTTATCACCCCATAAATATCCTCACAGTTCAAGGTTTCCTATGAGAGGCAAAAGATTGGTGGAGCACGGAGAGTGCTGCGCATGTTCCCCGTGTCATCACTGCTTCTCGATGAAATACTGGATTAGGCAAGTGTTATCACTGATGATTTACTTAAACGGACACTCCAGGCACTTCTGGCACTTCTGCCCATCGGAGTGGCCTGGGTGACAATTCCCATCACCCTTAACCCTGCAAGCGTAATTATTGCAGTTTTTATAACTGCAGCATCACCGAAATCCCCATAGGAAAGCACTGAATAATGCTTTCCTATGGGGTGGTCTAATGCGCGCGTGTGGCCATTGCTGCACATGCGCATTAGGTCTCCCCCGCCGGCTGACGTGGGCAGGGGAGGAACGTGGGCGGAGCCTGACCCATTGCCGAGGTACATCGGCGCTCGATTCAGGTATGTCACTGAAGGGGTTTTAACCCCTTCAGCAACATGGGATGGGGGGTGGGATACGTTTTCGTGGCACTGGAGAGTCCCTTTAAAGACACAGCAGCGGCAGTGAACAGACTGTGCTAGCACTGGAAAAGACAAATTGTCTGACCCTTTTACCATATTTCTTTTGTGTTTTAAATTGAGGGTTGGATTCAGCCATGGAGATCTGTTAAGGGCTTGCTCAAACAGCAGTTACAAAAATTCAGGATCATTTCACGATTCCATACTTTGAGTTTAGAAAAATTATACACCGGAACTTTGCCAGCCTAGACCAAATCTTTAAAATTACTATTAACAGCGCTCCCACTGACGACACAAACTCCAAAAATCATTAGCTCCTGGTGCTAGCAGCGACAGGCCCAGTTCAGCAGCCGATTCACTCAGTCAATAGAAATGAACAGATTTACACAGTCATTGCTGGTGGCGTAAAAACAGCGTATTTTATGGAGACATCGTTTCAGGCACTGCTTCGTCTAGATTGGCCAGATTACACAGTTACCCAAGGAACGGACTGAAAATCGGAAATGGAACAGCTCCAGCCTCTTCTTTCTCAAAAACAAGCCTTTTCGAGAAGTAGAGATTTGCACAAGCGAGTACCTACCTGCACTGGGTTCCAAAGACTTCAAAATACGGCTCCAAAATTCTACATTGTGCTTGTACACAGACACCGTGATGACTACCCATAATATCCAGTGACTTCCATGGT